ATTATGTCATATTTTATATCAAATATAATTTTAAATAAAATAAAAAAAATTAAGATAAACATGATCTGAATATATGAATGATACAAATAATTTAAATATAAACATAATACATTTATTATATGTATTATATGCAATACGATATAATTAATATATTTAAAATTAATTTACATCTAACTAACATAACACAATTAATATTATTATATATTCGAATAATATGACACGATATGACATGATCAATACGATTATATATAAATAATATGATTAGATACGATTAATTAATTAATTTAAATAAAAATTTAATTTAATTTAATATTTAAATAAAAATTATTTAAAAATTAAAAATTTATAATTTATATAAACATTAAAATGATATGATAAATTCATTTATTAATTTATTTTTAAATAAATTAAAATAATTTTAAAATTTTTATGTTAGGAATAATATTTTATGTAAACAAATTATTATTATTATTTAATATAAATAAAATATAAATAACATTATATTTTAATCATATCAAAATAATTAAAATATAAAATTTTATTATATTTAATTTATACATAATTTTTTTGTATTATTATTATTATTATGTCGAATGTAAAGTGATTATGTCTACCTAAATTCAGCCCAAGGCAAGACCAGAAATGACATTATAGGAGAGAGTAAATATTAAATAGTATGTGAGGGTGCGCTTGGTGTTGGTTCCCATTAGGGTTCAGTGAGGTTGGTGAAGGGTCAAAATCCTAATAACTGTGGATTTCACTGGGAAAAGCAATCAAGGCTTCTCTTCCGTTCGCAAAAGTAAGTAAAAGTGTGTTTTCTTTTTGTTTGTAGTGTCAGATTTGTAGTGTCAGATAAAGTGTCTCGACTTTCCTTTTGGATCTTTAATTCAATTTTTTTTTTCCTGCTAAGAATGGTAAACATAATTTAGTGGTAGCTGACTCCTAAGGTTACTGCAGTAATTTTCTTTCACATTCTTTGAGTTGTAAATAGTGTGGTAATAAATGAGTTTGAGAAAGTCCAAAAGAATAAATCAGTCAGTTTCATAATGTATTAATTAATTTTTCAGAAACTTTACAAAAAATTGGAAAAATTTCCAAAAGAAAGCCCCATTTTCCCTTTGCAGTACATCAAAAGAAAAAGAAAAGTAGTATTGTGTAATAGAATGGCAAAGAATTCACATGACCTATGATGAGTTCTTTTCAACTTTGCATAGATATCCACGAGCCTATCAGCATCTTAGCAATCCATTTCTCTATACTCGCTCTCACTACACAGATTATAAAGGGAACACTGAAAACAGCCAAACCAAGCTCTTTCAGTCCCCTCCAATGGCTACAGCCTACATGTGCCCTTTTCTTCTCTCCCTCAGCTTCACATGCTTCATTTTTATCTCGGCTTCAACTGAAGCTGATGTCCTTCTTAATTTTAAGGCTTTCATTGATGACCCAAAGCACTCTCTTTCCAGTTGGTCAAATACTTCAGGTGTTCATCACTGTAACTGGACTGGTATTACTTGCATTCCTACTCCTTCTCTCTATGTATCTTCCATTAACCTTCAAAGCCTGAATCTTTCTGGTCAAATACCATCTACAATATGTGAACTACCATATTTGTCTCATCTTAACCTTGCTGATAACCTTTTTAATCAGCCTATCCCACTACACCTCTCTCAGTGTAGTTCTTTGGAGACTTTGAATCTCAGTAACAATCTCATTTGGGGTACCATCCCAGATCAGATTTCTCAGTTCGATGCCTTGAAGGTTCTTGACTTGAGCAAAAATCATATTGAAGGGAAGATTCCTGAGGCTATTGGGTCGTTGGTGCATCTTCAGGTGCTCAACTTGGGAAGTAACTTGCTTTCAGGTAGTGTTCCTTTTGTTTTTGGCAATTTTAGTGAGCTAGCTGTACTTGATTTGTCTCAAAATGCCTACTTGGTGAGTGAGATTCCTACTGAAATTGGGAAGCTTGAGAAGCTTGAGCAGCTCTTTTTGCAAAGGTCTGGTTTTCTTGGTGAAATCCCTGAATCTTTTGTGGGTTTACAAAATTTGACCACCTTGGACCTTTCTCAGAACAATCTGACTGGTAAGCTTCCACAAAAGCTGGGCTCTTCTCTGAAGAACGTGGTGTCTTTTGACATTTCGGAGAACAAGCTCTTTGGGTCATTTCCAAGTGGTATTTGTGATGGCAAAGGCCTTAAATTCCTCAGTCTCCAAACAAATTTCTTCAGTGGTTCAATATCTAACTCCGTTTCTGAGTGCTTGAACCTTGAGGTTTTTCAAGTTCAAAACAATGGGTTTTCTGGTGATTTCCCTAATGGATTATGGTCTTTACCAAAAGTTATGCTCGTCAGAGCTGAAAACAATAGGTTCAGTGGGGAATTGCCAGATTCGATATCAATGGCTGTTCACTTGGAGCAAGTCCAGATAGATAATAACAGCTTTACTGGTAAAATCCCTCATGGTCTTGGCCTGGTAAGGAGCTTATACAGGTTTTCTGCTTCCCTTAATGGCTTCTCTGGTGAACTTCCCCCAAACTTTTGTGACTCTCCTGTTATGAGTATAATAAATCTTTCCCATAATACCTTGTTTGGTCAGATTCCAGAGTTGAAGAAATGTAGGAAACTAGTTTCCTTGTCTTTAGCAGATAACAGTCTTACTGGAGAAATCCCTCCCTCCCTTGCTGAATTACCAGTGCTAACTTACCTTGATCTATCTCATAACCGTCTCAGTGGTTCTATTCCGCAGGAGCTTCAAAACCTGAAGCTAGCTCTTTTCAACGTATCCTTCAACCAACTCTCTGGTAGGGTCCCATTATCTCTAATATCAGGTCTCCCAGCTTCATTTTTGGAAGGAAACCCTGGACTCTGCGGCCCTGGATTGCCAAATTCGTGCTCTGATGAACAGCCAAAACATCACTCTTCTGGTCTGACAACATTGACATGTGCCCTGATATCTATAGCATTTGCTATTGGAACTGTGGTTGTTGCTGCTGCTGTTTTTGTGTTTCATCGATATTCCAAGAGGAAGTCTCAAATGGGCGTTTGGCGGTCAGTATTCTTCTACCCTCTTAGAGTCACCGAGCATAATTTGATAATGGGAATGGATGAGAAAAGTGCTATAGGAAGTGGTGGCCCTTTTGGCAGGATGTATACCATAAGTCTACCGAGTGGTGAGCTAGTTGCCATAAAGAAACTGGTTAATTTTGGGAGCCAATCTTCCAAAGCTATGAAGGCAGAAGTCAAGACATTAGCCAAGATCAGGCATAAGAACATTGTTAAAGTTCTGGGGTTTTGCCATTCAGATGAATCAATCTTTCTTATTTATGAATTCTTACAGAAGGGGAGTTTAGGGGATTTGATTTGCAGACCAGATTTTCAGTTGCAATGGAGTGTTAGACTGAGGATTGCAATTGGGGTTGCGCAAGGATTGGCATACCTTCACAAGGATTATATTCCACATTTGCTTCACAGAAATCTCAAGTCAAGAAACATTCTTCTTGATGCAGATTATGAACCAAAGCTTACAGATTTTGCACTTGATAGGATACTTGGAGAAGCTCCATTTCAGTCAACTATGGCTTCAGAATTTGCACACTCCTGCTATAACGCACCAGGTAACGGATCCCACAGAAACTCTATATTGGAGCAATATAACGTTCATTAATGCATTGTTACATTGATCTATTATCTGTTGAAATTTAGCCCAAATGGATGCTTTCAAGTACGCAGATGGAATTTGATGGATGGTTACTATCACATCATATTGCTAAAAAGAATTCGACTCAAACTCTGTTTTGCCTCACCTATAAAATTTGATGTGTTAAATTGCTCACCATGTCAGTTGATTGATTGCAGAATATGGATACAGTAAGAAAGCAACTGAACAGATGGATGTTTATAGCTTTGGTGTGGTGCTGTTAGAGCTCATAACTGGCCAACAAGCTGAGGACATTGAATCCATGGACTCTCTTGATATTGTGAAGTGGGTTCGTAGAAAAGTTAATATTACCAATGGCGCATTACAAGTTCTTGACCCTCAGATATCAAATTCTTCACAAAAAGAGATGCTAGGAGCTCTTGAAATCGCCCTGCGTTGCACTGCTGTTATGCCAGAAAAACGGCCATCAATGTTTGAAGTGGTGAGAACACTTGAGTCCCTTGATACAAGGTCTTGCCTTCCAAATCTGGAGCTCTCTACTTCTGAGGAGCAATCACATCCTGTTTGAATATTAAAGTAAAAGACGCTCCATTTTCGTTCATGTCTTGTATGTAATCATCTCATTTTGACTTCTTACTGGAAAATGAATGTTTGGGCTGGCATGGCGTTCCTATTTCTCCACCAGAATTTGTTTCGGAAGTTCATTAATAGTAATACGAGGTTTTTACCAAGGTATTACTAATCACAAGTGCATACATGCAGCATTGCAGGTATTACTGTCATATTCTGAAACCTATTTTAGACTTACCCAAATTCATCATTACATGTCAATATCCACAACATGCGATGAAAAAGTTAAGTATAAAATATTAATATATTCCTTTTGTGGTCACGATAAGTTTAAGACAGAATAGGTTATCACATCTTTAAGTCAAGGTTAAGACAAACCGTCAATTTATAGGATAAATTACTACCACTCTAATATCAGGATAAGTCGTGAATTTTTTGAAATTTTTTGAACTTACAGATCCTTTATCAACACGAGATTGTGAGGATTTGCATCTGGATACTTTGCATCAGGCCTTAAACCTTAATATATTCATTTATTGAATCTTTGCACTTCGATGGTGAAGTGAAAACTAATCCAATTTGATAGGTAAACATACTTTTTAACGGGAAAACAGATGAAGGAAAGTGTTTTCTTGAATGCAAAAATGGGGAAAATATTAACATTTCTGTTTTCATCCTTCCAATGACTGATTTAACCATAAAACAATACATATTCAGGGGGGGAAAAAGAAACAAATAACCATTTATTCTATATATTAAAATCATAATGGTAGTTGATTTCAAGCTCTCTCAACATTTAGCGAAAACAAATCATGTTCTTTCCACTGTATATTCAAGCCATTAGGAGCATGTTTCAGAATTCCAAAAACTTTGAATCATTTAAACTTTTCCCCTTCTGTTTTCACCTTCACATTCACTTTTCCTTGGCTACGAAACATGAGAAATATACATACACAAACTAACTTTAACACTCACGCAGACCATACCTCACTAAGGAGTTCATATCTTGCATTTCTACCACCATAGACTTCATGCTCATGTTTTCCATTTACTCTTCCGTTGGCAACAATTGTTGGAGATAACGGCAATCTATCAATTATTGATGCAAGTGGAGAATTCAATTCCTCCAGTTCCTCGTCACTGGTATATCCCTTTCTCTGTATCACTGATGCATTCCTAGACAGCTGTGATTTCCCTCCTGCCTCTGCAACTTTTTCTGCCACATCTGCTGAGGATGGAGGAGTATAGACAACGGGGGCAGCTGTATAAGGGAAACTTCTAGTCGACTCCCCTGATACTCTCCGCTCAACAATAGTCTAACAAATGAAAGAATCATAAATAAAAACCATTTGTCATCAACTGTAGGGACTTGTTAGCAAGGTAACCGGAAAGCCAAAATCCAGAATGGAGAAAGTTGTGAGATGGATTAGATAAGGATACAAGCAGTTTCAACAATTACATATCTAGAAAACGTTCTTTAATAGTTAGTGAAAAGTCTGCCAAACAAATGTCTAGAACAAGAGAATCCCGAACTAGTCATACCTCAGCATTCAGGGCTTCCAATACAGCTCCTGGAACAGGATCGGGACAAAATTCATCTGGAGTGAAGTTGCAGAGAATGCGTTTAATCAATGGAAGACCTATTGATGGGCACACCTGACAAGATGAAAAAAAATTCAAAAATGTTAGAAGGAACCATCGTAATGAGACAGAAGAAGTAATCTACTAATAGGTTCATGATATGCATGGCTTTAATTAGAACTCGACCTCCTTTCTGATTGACTGGTCCATTAGCATGTCCTTTGGAAGCATTAGAAGATCACTCAGGGCATTAATAAAAAGGAAGGATTTAGGTTCTCCATCTCCATTTTGTCCGAAATCATCTTGACTGTTAGGCTGGTCTTCTTTTATAAAAACATCACTATCCATGCCAAACATATCAGTTAGACATCTAGACCAATTACCAACCTGCAAAATAAGCATCCCTCCTTAAGAACTTGCATCTAGTTTTTCCATATAAAACCACTAGTACATGGGTTACATCATTTTGGAGAGGAACGGAAACCCCCAATTATTTTATTCATCTCTGATTGCAATCAAGCAGCAGACTGAAACCATTCCAATAGATAGTATTGCTTCACAAAAAAAGTACATAGTGGTACCATATATAGCATAAATTGAGGACTTTCTATAAAGAACGGGAGAAGTCATTTCATATAGCATCTTAGATCTTTCCATTGGCAACATATTTCTCAGTATACATAAAATGCCTTTTTATATATTTTCTCAGCTGCATAGACCTTTCCATTAGTAATGCGTTTGCCATATCATGTCCTGTTGGAAAATAAATTAGGTAAACATTTACCTAAAAAGGATTACAATTTCTACACCATATTTTCCAGAGAATGAAGCGTAATTTATCACAACAACAGCTAACCAATAGCAGTATATCAGAGGACTACCACCAACAGGTCAATGTAAATTTTCTCGAAGGCAATGTTCCAATGAAACATGAATTTAATATAAGGAGTGCAGGAATTACTGAGATTCACAATAACAATTGCCTATTGTGACATAAGAGGTGTAGTGAAAGGACTAGCCCCCAACTGGATATTCCACAGAAATCAAGGAAAAAAAAGTTCACTGACATAATACATACAGAATTTTTTAGCTGTGCACCAGATCCAAAGCTAAGATCACCAGCTGGAATAGGCAGAACTTTTGAATCTACAATAGGATCAGATACAGGATCTGTTGGGATCTCATGGGCTGACTCCCGCAGAATAGCATTGAACATTGCTACATCTAGTCTTGCAACACACTGTTCCATAACCTAATAAAAGTAGATACATCAATAAAACTATGATACATAGTGCTACTGCTTAAAATTTACAGAGGGCTATTTAAGTACATACCATTCTTGCAATAACACGTAAGCAACCACACTCATGACCTCCTGCTCTAACAGGACAAAGTCGTTGAAAAGCATCTTGGAAAGCATTTTTCCATAGGTCGATAGAAAAACTTCCTTGCTGTTGATCACACAAGGCTGGCCCCAACAACTTTCCAATTGTTTTGCCAGCAGATGAACTCTCAAGAGGAGATTGCATATATGGAGTAAGAGCCTGAAATAAGGAACACACATGAAATTCCTTCTCTCTTATTTGTACTTTAGAGACCCCAAACCAAAATGTATCAATTAGATCCCCTACATGTTTTAAATAACAGTGTCCCTTTATTAATAAAAATTTGACAAGTTCAACCATGTACCTGCCACCATACTGACTCAACTATTCGAGAGAATATCCAAGATTCCACTTTTTCTAGTGCAGATGTGAAGGTTCCTGTCTCTTGCCAATCATCAACAAGCTGCACAAAACCATTTACTTGTTTACTACCAGCACCACCTTTCCATTTTAGAGTTTTAGACTTTACTTCACTCTTTCTGTTACTGCCATTTAACTCAGGAAGCCATGTAAGTGGACTTGAGTTGCATGAATTGCCAAATGCTTGACACATGATCTCCCTCAGCACTATAGTGTTTGATAACCAGAAGGTTAACCTTAAATATAAAAGCAGAACATTATTCAGCTGTCAACAGTAAATGGCATTCCAAAGCACTCTCAAAAATAATATCTGATAATCTACATACCTCGAAACATCATTACCACAAGATTTTGCAATCAAAATGAGCCCAGACACTGTGTTTTTAGCAATTGTGGCTCGCTTGTTTTGAGTCCAATGCTTGCAAGCATGTACGTAGAGTCTAGAAAGGCGTCGAGCAGGTGTGTGCACTTTATGTGCAGAGCTCCCATGCTCTGGAACAACAGAATAAAGAGAGATTTCCATGGCAGCTACTTCTCTCAGCTCTGCTTCAAGTTTCTCAATTCTTGCCTCCATCTCTTCTATCTTTTCATTTAAAGCTGCCTTATCCTCAACTTGAAATTTGTCTTGAGCATCAACAGGCTCATTGTCACTTCCGAAACTTTGAGTCCCATTTGATGTCTCATCCAAACTATCAACTTCTTTTACCTCTTCACCATCCTTGTCATTAGATCCTTCTGAAGACTCGGATGAAGGTTTGGAAGAAACTTTCAAGGTTTTGGAATTATTTTCTAACGAACTCTCGGTAACAGCCTTAGGAGTATTATTCAATGCCTTTGAGTGTAATTTATTAGTTTCATGCTCAGATCCCATTCTCAAACCATGGGAAGAGCTATATGAGAGGTTGTTATTGGAAACTCTGGAAACACTCTCTTCTTTCTCATCCTCAGCTGTCAAGGAATCACCCTGAGAAGATGCTGAATCTTTTATCATCTCAGAATCTGATTCTTCTTCCTTTCCCTGACTTGTTTCTCCCTCCATATCACTGGAGCAATCATCTAAAATTTCATCCTTTTTTATTTTAGTGGTCATTGCATTAGCTTTTGGATCTTGAGATGTTTCTTCAGACCTGTTAACATCATCCACATAATGTATAACCACGTTTTCATAAACTTCAGTGGGCTCAGAGCCTGCATTTGCATCACTTACTAAAGAACTAGTGTCTGGTCTAGCTTTTAAAGCTTTGGATTCAGTTTCTCTCGCCTTCAAAGTTTTGCCACCATTCTCTTGATGTGGTTTATTGTTTCTCCTATCAGTTCTTCCAGGGAGCTTTGATTGGACATTAGCTGAATTTCTCCTCTTCCCAGTGTCTTTCATACTTGAAGTTGATTATCTGCTTAACTACAATAAAGGAAGAAGCTGTAACAATGGAGAGAATAGCAACTGATATTCCTCCCAAAACTCGTTAGTTGACTGTCAACAGTGGATGTAAAAGGGCATGTAGTTGCACCTATTTATCATGAAGTGACCTACTTCTCACTTGAGGGCAGAACAATCTTCTTCTGGCCTTTTTGTCAGTTGAGTGTCTCTGCACAAGAGAGAAGCCAGGATCATCACTATACACTGATATGTCACTTGATATTAACTAAAATCAACTGCAATTCACCAAACAGAAAATCTATACGTGCTTTATTTATTCATGGTAGTGGACACCAAAAAAATGCAGACTGCTCTAAAACCATACAGGAAGCAACAGATAATAAAATTATGAAACTACGAATATTAATTCAAAATAGACTCACAGACACAGCCCTGCATCCAATTAGAGCTTAAGTTAAAAAACACAGGAGGCACGAGCAGGGAGAAGAAAGGAAAGCAACAGAAAAGAAAGCAAATAACAGACGGCAGAAGCATCCAATTCATTCAACAGCACAAGACCTACAGCATGGGCCAAAATTTTTAGAGTTGTACGTTCCCTAGAGTTCAAATTACAGGGCGTGACTAAAAGGCCACAAGGATTTGAGAAAATGCTCTGACTTGAATGGAAGACACAATTACAAGTTTCTTATCAACCATGAAACAGCAGCAGCGCAAATGGTAGCAAAAAATAAGCTTTATCACTGGACCAAATTATCTTCTTAAAATCACAACTAAGCCTAAATTATGGCGGCAGGTACGACCAGTAAAATTTTAGGCAGAAGAATTTAGGACTATCCTCAAGGGAAACAACCAGTAAAAGTTAAGTTAATTTTAGCAACGTCAAACAAAGAAAGATTCGTTTAAATCTCCTTTTTGAAACCTTGAAGACTATCTAGGATGTCCTTTTCGCAACAAATATCAATGATAAGAACTTACAGCTAGAAGATTAATGGTTAAACTCACCATCGCATAACTGTTGATGAAAAAAAGAAAACATAACAGTGGTCCATCAACAATTCTAAAAAGTAATATCCCCTGCTCTCTGGCACTCAAAAATGCCTAAATCGGAACAAATTATGCATTTTCCATTTCCTCTTTACTTTGAAACCCATATTCTCCCTTTCAAAGTTAATGCTGCATCAATCCCAAAATTCAGATCAAAGAATAAAAACACCTTGACGCTCGAATAAGATATCTTGCAATCTATTTCCAGAAGTACAACAAAGTTAAACCCTTTTTACCATCAAAATCACGATTACGAATGACCCAAAAGAAATTCAAAAAGGTTTAACGCAGCTGAACAACTAAGCTAACATTAACTTTTAGTCGCAATCTCTCTTTCCAGAACCATGGTGAAGAGCTTTTTTTTTTTTTGTCTACTAGTGAAAAGCCTCAATCTCCATGATTAAAACGACATAGTTTTTACTACTGTCATAGATCTTAATCAACAACGAATATAGAAACCAAACCAAACAAAAGTTGACTGAAATTCAGCACCACACTTTTTTTTTCTCAGCCACCATTTGAAACAAATAATTCAAACATATACTAAGAAAAACAAACCTGCTTTTGGAACTGAAACGGAGCAAACCACAAATAAAAACACTGCAGATTAGAAAGTGAAAAAAAATATGGACAATGAAATATCAAACAGAAAAAGACAAGATCGAAGTATTCAGACCATTTCTGGACGCAAAGGAAATGCAGTTTTCGACTTTAACGTGTTGTCAATTTTCTCAGCTATTAACAGAAAAAAAGACGTCGAAGAACAAGTGATAACAAAACGACAAACAAAAAGGTACAAAACGTCAACCCAAAAAGCTTGAGCTGTAATGCAAAACGTACAAAGAACAAGAAACGAAGGAAAAAGAACAGTAAAAAAAAAAAGAAAAACAACCCTTTCTCTTTTACGAACTTACCAAAGCTCTATTTTGGGATCTTCAAAGACAAAGTAAAAAAGTAAGTTTCGGACAACAATCAGTGAATCCCCTGGGGATTTTAACCTTTTTCTAAGCTTTTCTGGGCTTCGAGTTTCGTGCTGTGAAATGAAACGAGGCCTCTGATGCAGAGTCTGAGTACGGGAAGTAAGGGAGGAGGGCGCATTTTAAAAGGCCAGTGTCCGCTCTGTTTGAACTGTACGGACGAACGAGAGGCGAAGGGGACGTTGTCGGTGGGGGGAAGAGTGACCGGGAATTGCCGGTTGACGGTTTTTTAACTGATTTATTTTATATTTTACAGTATTTAGTAATCTTTTTTTGTAAGATTTATTGGTGTACCTAAACTGCCATCAGTATCACGAGTTGAGTCCATAAATTTACTTTGATTTTGTTCGTGCAAAACCAAAATTTTCGATTTTTTACTTCTTATTCCCTTAACAAAAACAAAAAATAAAATAAAAAGTTATAAAAAATAAAAACCGTTAAGAGAGAAAGAGAGCGGATTAGATTAGATTTGACTGGAGACGGACCGTCCATCTACCACTTCTTCTTGGGACCTAATCAAGATGTAAACGCACCACCTTATTTTTCTTATACACCAACAATTCCCAACAGATACTGTTGTCTATTTTAAAATAAAAGAAAACACTAAAAGATTATTTCAAAATTGGAGCATTTAATCGATAATTATATATTTTATTAGTAAAATATTAATTTTTAATTTTAATGGTCAATATTTAATGTTAAATATACATTTAAATATAAAATAACTTCAAAACAAAAGAAATTAAAATTTAATATTTATAATTCATTTTTTTATTATTAATTTGCGATCTTTTATGTAAAAAAAAAAATACATATATCCCTCTTTCGAAGCATATAGTTCTAATTTCTCATTCTTAAATTAAAAAAGGTTAGGAAGACATTTGATATTTGATGAACACAATGGATTATCGATGAGACACAAACATATGCTTAAATCCTAGGATCATGAACCATTGAGCTCTTCCACACACAGTACACTATGTTCCCATGATATAGAAGGGAAACAGTCAAACAGCTCATCCAAAAATTTTTAATTCATTTTATAATTCAAAATTGTAGTAAAATCTTTTTTTTTTAATCAATGCTGTTTGGGACCCAAGATTGAAATTCAATTCCCAACCCTTTTTTAATGAAGACAAATGCCAGTAGATCACATGCTGGAATCAAATACTAGTTCGATTTCTAATTGTGGTATTACTTTGTAAGTAATTAAAGAAACCAGAAATGGTGGGCATTAACTACTTGTCTGAACTGAAGAACAAAAACAGAATCCTTTTTAGAAGATTGCTTGCATTGAATTTCATCAAGTTTTCTTAATGAAGTGATGGCACGTTATTAGTAAATAAACACTAGCATTTAACAATTACTTTTAGTAAATAAACACTGGCATTTACGTTATTAGTAAAAATAACTTAGCATAAAATAATTAATATTTCTTTGAATTCAAGAGTAGTTATTTTTAGATAAAAATTTAATAATTTATTATAATTAAGTAGGTAATTATAATTTTTTTATATTTTTAATCCGATTTCTTTATTATATAATTACGTATTTATATTCCAATTAAGGAAGAACATAAATTAATTGTTAGTGTTTTGTCTCTTTTGAATTGTAGTTACATTTATCTTTTTATATTTACTATTTTGGTTTATTTTTTACTTTTGGTATATTAAACAAATTTCTTTTATCTTATTGTTTATAATTTAATAATAATCTCTTATATTTGAAATTAATAGAAATATATAATAGAAAAGATCAAATCTTTCTTTGTTTATTCAAAATTCAAAAATAATAAATTATCATTTTTATTTTAAATGTTTTCTTGCCAAATCGTCTCTTAGAATTTAGGTATGATAATATTGTTTATTATATGAAATATAGATAATTTTAGACCAATTAAATCTAAGAAATTTGGCTAGATAAATTTATTTCAGTTAATCAAATTAAACTAATTTGATTAAAATATAAGTTTTTTTTTTTTTTAAATTCATATTGCATGTTTGATTATTTTTAATTTGTTACTATATTTTGACCAAATTATTCACAATTTTATCTAATAGTTAAGTCATAAATCTTGATTTAAGCCTACAATCATATTACATTTTTTCTTTTAAAAAATGGAAGATAAACATTTAACATGCAATAATTTAATATATAAGTACGTAATCACAATTTAGTCGCCACTTTTATTTTGGCAAATTTGAATTTTGAATAGTATTTATGTTGGTCTTAAAATGTTAAATTTAATTATCAATAATGTGAATTTATTTGATTTTTATTAAAAAAATTGAATTCAAAATCATATAAATAATAATCTTTAACTCCATTAATTTGATGGTAAATATTAATTATTAGGCTATTTTTCTTTTACTTTCATTGAAATTTCAAATTAAAATATACGAATTTATTATTAAAAAATTTAAAAGAAAAATAAAATTAAGATTTTCGACCTATAAATAACATGTCAAATGTGTAAATTTTAATTTTTTCACAAAAATAATATATACTTTTAAGAGTTTATGTAATTGTGAATAAAATATTAATTTTTTATTGAGTTTTGTATGTAATTTTATTTTTATAATACAACAAAATTCATTAAAATTATTTTTTTTCAAAACTTGCTTAATATTTATTTGGATTCTTTCATAATAATTTATATATGGATGATTTTTTAATTTTTGATTATAAATTATAAATGATTACGAATGTTATTTATTTATTTATATATAATATAAAATTAGTATAAATTAAAATTTTAAATTATAAAAAATATAATAAAAAATTTCATGCATGACACGAATAAAAAAAACTAAATTTATTTAAAATAAGGTAATAATTAATTACAAAATTAATCAGCCAACCATAATTAAAAGACAGATTCCTCTCATATTTCGAAGCTAAGTGAAATTGGATCAATTGGTCCAACCATTATTAAAGGACCCACCATGTTTTTTTTCTACCACCGACATCATCGAAACCTTTTCCTCTCAATCATATGTTCATTTAATTGACTGATGGACGCTCTTCAAATCTTATCTCGAAGCACTATACTAAAGAATTTATGCTTATTTTAATTTAACTGAAAATAAAAAAATTAAAAAAAAAATCTTTCGGCTGCAAGTTAGATCTAAATTCCCTTTTATACTATTGTTAAGAGGCACGTTCACTTGATCACGAGCTTCTATTACCACATAATAATAATAATAATTATTATTATTATTATTATCACAAAAAAAGATTTAAAATAATTTTCGATTTTTTTTTTGAGGGTATATATATATGGTAATATAGGGGATAAATCCCCAAGCCGCAAATCATGTTATTAATGAAACATTCAATTGGTTTAATGGAACCACCTAAAATAATTCCAGCTAATTAATTTATTCCTCTTTTCTTGATTTCTTCTATTAATCGCCTATTAATTTCATTTAAAAATATCACCCAACCACTCTTTCATGCCTATTGTTAGAGATGTAAATAATACATTAATATTTACAAATTATTCGGTTAATTAAAAAAAATTCAAATTCGGTTTCGATTATTATCAAGTCGAGCTCGAGTTTGGGTTGTTCAACTTATCGATCGAATTGAATTCAAGTATTCTTATATCCGACTCCAGTAGCTCAAAGCCTAATCAAGTTTTTATATTTAAATATATTTTTATTATTTTTATTAATAAAATATTTCAAATTCAAGTTCGAACTCGAGCATAAATAATTAAATTCTTGTCAAATATATGAATCGAGTTTATTTTACATATTAATCAAACTTAATCGAGCGAGTTCTAATAGTTCGAATTTGATTACGAATTGAGTTCAAGCTTGAAAAATAAAACTCGATCGAATTCAAGTCGAGTATCGAGCCACGAGTTTTGAGTCAAGTTCGAATTCAAACTTTTCACTATATCAACTCAACTCAACTCAACTCGATTATACCTTTACTTGCTGCTATTTCGTGCGTATTTTTTTACAATATATTTTCAAAAGATAAATTCTTTTTAGTTATAAAATATTATAACTTTCACATTATCATTTTATTAAGAAAATAACAATTTATTTGGATAGCAACCTAATAAAATTTATTTTAAAAATATAAAATATTAATTAATTTAAAAGTTTGTTTCACAAAGATACAATTATGAAAAAATAAATTTATTAAACTTTTATTATTTCTTTCCCAAACATTATTTTCTCTAATAACAAGAAACACAAAATATCATCTATCTATTGTCTCGTTTTGTAATTTTCTTTTGACTTTTCACTGCAACCCGCAACTTGTAACGCATCTGAAGCGCACTGCATATGGGGCCCCATATTCTGCCTGCCGGGAAAACAACATGATTTGGATTCCCTTTCTGATCTGCTACACAGTGGAAAAGGCAAGCTTTCCGAAAAGGACACGAAGACATACCTTGTCTTTTAAATCAATTTATTTCCAGCACCGAAGAGCATGTTATTTATAATTATGTGTTATAGATTATAATTATGGTTTTTTATTACTATTAGTGTATTCAAATGCAACACATTGATCATAAAATACAAATCAAATTATATAATTTCATTATCTTTTCCTGAATTAATAAACTTTTTATTCAACTTTATAAGGAGAGTGCAAATGAAGAATAGCTTTTCAAGCTGTCTCAGTGGCAAAAGCTAGATCTTATAAATTATTTTATGACACTTCACTTTGATGGGCACTGCCTAGACTTGAAGCACAAAAGCCTTAAAAGCAATTAAAAAACACACTAAAATTTTGGTATAATCACAATTAACAAATCATTCAGGGGACATCTTTAGAATTATAAAGATGTAAAAGATTCTATTGGTTCGCCTTTATACATACATAAATACCAGATCAAATTATTATGAGATATATACTTAATAAAAACATCATCTTTTATTTTTTATAATTTATTTGTACTAGGAGTCCATACCAACAAGGATTTAAAAGTGAGTTCTTGGACTTAATTAGCCAATGCTTTGATTAATATGTGCTTTAGATGTAGCTAATCTAGTTGACATATTAAAAGGAAATTCATATGGGTAGTGTGGAGATTAAATTCATATAAATTAAAGTAATGGTTTTGGTTGGTTATTCATATAAACATTACTTCTACACGATGACAGAAGAAATATTGAAGGAAAATCCAAGCATGTGTACCTACATCGCAAGACTCTCGCCAAGAAATGACCGTGGTGGATGTACCTGAACTATAGGCAAACAAGCAGCAGAAAAAGCTATCAAAGAATGGGAGCAGCCTAAATCCAAGTTTAGATCACGATTTATCAACAAGCTTGCTTTACTGATGGCACAGCACTTCGTCTCGCCAAGGACTTTAGCTAAGAACAACAAATCAGCCCTTGTTCATGTGGTCTGTTCCGAACTCATAGCTCTCTAGCTATTTCCATGCCGTACGAACCTGGGCTATGTGGTTGCGTCAGCGCTTTTTGCTGATGGCGCTGGAGCTGCTATCGTGGGCCTGATCCGGACACGGTCATTGAACGTCCATATTCCAACTTGTTTCCGCTTGTTAGACAACTCTACCTGATTCAGAGGGATATATTTACGTGGAGTTGGCCTAACTTAACAGTTATCTAAAGATATACCCACATTGATCTCAAACAAGGTAGAGAAGAGCATTGCTGAAGCATTTTCCCCAGTTGGGGTGGTCCCCATGTTGGGACTCAATCTGCCATGTTAATCACCCTGGTGGCCGGGCTATTCTTGACCAATTGGAAGCAAGACTAAGTCTCAAAAAACACAACCTGAGGGCATCTCGTCAAGTGCCGAGTATAGCAACATGTCAAGTGCGAGCTTTTTCTGTATCGGAAGAGATGAGAAACAAGTCTGTCAAGAAGGAAAACCCACCACAGCTGAGGGGTTAGAGTGGGGTGTTCTTTGGGGTTCAAGCCAGGCCTTACAGTCGACTGTTTAGACTGTTGTGCTGCATAGTATCCACATAAAACCATCTCATTCAGTCAAGGGAGAGAGGATGCATGCTTCAAATGTTATGTTTATGGTCAACCTGAAGCGTTTGAAGATAAAATAATCACTTAGCCTTCATTTTAGGTTACTTTTCTTCTTCCTTTTCTCCTCCTCGTTCCTTGTTAACTATATGTTTATTAACTTTCCTTCGTATGGCTCGGAATTACTCAGACATCTTCGCACATGCTTTATTCAATGAATTCTGCTTCACCGAGAGAGGAACAAAAACTAAAAGGGGGAGCAAGTGGATTAAACAAGGGGCGGGGCGAGAAGAATTTGGGCAGTGGCCTCGGCCTGAGCACCATGTTGTAGGAGCAGCAACCTATATTGCTTGGGTTGGTGCAAAATTATGGGCTCCAGGACAGTGGCCTAACACTAGCTAATACTACCACTTGAGTTGTTTCCCATATATCTTCTCATATTATTATTCACAGGAAAAAGCATATATCAGCCACATGTTTGCCAACGATAAACAGGGCAAAAATATCTGCAATAAAATAACTGAAAGGCGCAAATGTTCCGTTGATTTTACAAACATAAACAGGGACGATACTTTACTTGGGATAATACATATATCAAAAACATGTACCAATGATCTCAAGCAAGGAGAGGTCTCAATGACAACTGCGTTAAGAATTGGTATCAACAACTATGAGTAAAACCTAGGTTATGTGATGAAAAATAAAGAAAATACCTTAGCTGCAGGACCATACTTAAAGAAAATTGAAAAATTGGCCAAAACGGGCTGTAGTTGTTAAGTGCTACTTGATTCCCCACTGCAACAGATTTGCAATGGTGCTGGAAACGAATCTGTAGTTTTCTAAACCAGATGGCAAGTGAAAAATGGTTTTAGCCTAGAACATGCAACTTAATCTAGCGAGGTTCCTTCAAAAAATTCAATAGATCCATGTTAAAGCATATTACAATATACCAATTCAAAATTTTCCCTGCTCCCATATTCTCAATCACAATTCTATCAAGAAATAAAGTCTTTTCCTCTGAAAAAGACTTACAGCCATGGCATTAACTATCAGAAATCAGACAAATATGCATAAATTGTTACAAGCGGATGGTTAATGAGAAAATGTTTTAGCCTAGACGATGAACCTTGGCCAAATGGCAAGGATGAGACTGAAGTTTGAGTGTCCTAGACTTTCATCACTAAGCAAACAGTGTTAAAGATGATAGACAATGTGGAAAAGAAACTATAAAACTCACAAGAAAAGGTTGCATTCGAGAAATATTAATCGATTAACAACATCCCCGCTCGCAGAAATAAGATCCTTGGTCAAAACTTTATCAATCAATACAGTCCTTCATTCTGCAATTGAATTGCAATCCTTATACTAACTGTTACATGCTCAACTAATACACAGACAAAGATATAACAATAAAAAGAATCGTGGTTTTTTTGCCCCTACTTTCTGACATAAGCATCACTCACAAAAACCATGGAGAAAGCAGCATACATACTTTCTCAATCTACTAAACAGAGACATCTTAGCACATCACACAATTGGTTAAGCAAACTAAATTCAAAATCCATTAAAGCTCGATAAGTAAATATTAGACTGTAATCCCAAATAAGCCAATGACTTCATCATCATCGATAGCATAAATCCAATTAAAAACCCATAAAATTTAACAACTATAAATCCTTCAACAATTAAAAAAAAACCCATTTTTTATTTGAACTACACATTTTATTAACAACAGAAAAACAAGAGAGTTCCCACAGTCCACACCCAATAGACCCAGATTAAAGTGGATCACCAAACATCTCAGTCAGAAGAAGACGATTCGGCGGCGAGCTTTTCAAGGGCTTTTTGGTGGGCCCAAGTCTCGATAGAAAGATCGGGCTTGGCGTTGAGGCCGACACCAAGGATGACGATGGTGAGGAAGCTTGTGATGTAGCTAGGTAACTCCCAATCTTCCCATTTGCGAGACTGGCCTGGAGGTGGTGGGTTCCTGTTGAAGAGGTAACCATTGGGTCGCTCCTGGTGACCTGGCGTCGCCCATCGGCTGGGACCTGCGTGGGTTGAGAAGGTCCGGGAGAAGAGGCGTTGGCGTAGCGTGCTGGTCAAGGCCATCGTGGTGGCTGAAGCCTTGAAGGTCAGGGAAAGTGAATTTAGGGACTGCGAAAGGTTGGGGGTTTTATTTGGCTAGTGGAAGAACTTCAGCTACACAACGTCGTGTTACTTTGCGGCCTTTTTTTTAACAACAATGCTCCATGTTGGCACTTGGGCTTGCATAGGATGGTCCACGCCAGAGCAGCAGCCCACCGGGCTCATGGGTCCAATTTGATTCAAGGTTAGCCTTTTACATGAATTTTTATTTTTAAAATCCAAGCTTAAGTTGGAGATATTATTATATTGATAAAGATTATATTTTTATTTACTTATAAATATATTTTAAAATATTAATATAATTTTTAATAAAAACATAATATAAATGTTTTTATTGAACTCAGATGAATTCAGTTTTGAACTTAGGTCTCGTCGATCAATTGGGTTCAGTTACAAATGTATCTAACTTCTATCATGTAATCATGTTTTAAGTGACGTAAAATTTTGAATGGTCATAAGTTCAAGTTATTTATATTTTGTTCATCAACTTTTGAGTTCAAGTAATTCTATATTAATAATTTGATAAATATGCTTTATTTATATTTTAATTAAAATTTACAGTGAAAATGAAATAAAAGATATTCAAAGTTCCAAATATTGTGCATAGAATTTGGTGTTGCCTCTCTTCTGATTTTGTTCACAACCATAAGTATCCTCAGGTCACTACCCAAACCAAAACAAGGTTAGCCCTTCTAGTACATCAAACTGTTTTATAGGGCACTCAAACCTTTGATATATGTGGCCATCTCTATATTTGTCACTAGAAAGAATTGCCATCGATTTATAGATGATCTCCACACTACCAGAGTTAGGAAAGGGTATTTGCAATTCTGTAATCTTCTCTAGTTCATTCAACAGAATAGTCGGTCAGTGTTTTTCGATCTCCACGGCTGAAACAATCTTTCCAAGCGCCACGAAGTTGGGAGTTGTTTCCTACTTTTGTTTTGAACATTGTGACCTATTCAACCTGTCTTTCATTTGGTTTTGAATATGGACACTCCTTCAACTATTCTTTCATTGAGAACAGTCTTAAGGTTTTCAAAGTAGGAAGTAGCACTAGAAACCTTTCCAGCGGCTTCTTTTGTACCCAAAAAAAAAAGGAAGTAGCAGCTTAGCAGGGAAGGACACTTATATTGAACGCAGTTGGACAAAAGTGTATTTCCAGTTTTAAACTTTCAGACTTCACCAGTAGTCTCCACAGGAACAAACTCCCCTAAAAATATGGTGGAACCGGTTCTTATCCCTCAAAGACACTTCTCTCAGATAAATCTTGGAAACAAACTTGGCAAAATTATGGCAATCAACACAAATCCGGAGGTTCTTAATCACACGGAGTGGCACTCCATCAGAAGTAGATATCAGCCCAAAAGTCAAAGCCAATTTCTCGCTGTGGCCTAGGAGTATCTTCTCCTTCTGCTCTTCATCCACATCATGTAAAACACAACTCAAGTCAGGAACATAGCCAGCTTCCTTCAATTTGATTGATAACTCTTTCAGCTTTACAAATACCTCTTCCCTTCTTGGATGTGAACGATCACTTGCATGGAAGGAATGAAGGGTTTGGTCAAACTCAATCCAACTTCTTCCTGGCTCTTTTTTCACAGCTTTCTCCATCATCAAATCCCTCATCATTCTTACATCTTCCCATCTCCCTGCAGAAGCATATAAATTAGATAGAATAACATAGTTCCCAGCATTCTCAGGCTCAATTTCTAGCAGACAACGACCTACAAATTCACCAATGTCAATATTTGAGTGAACCCTACAAGCACCTAGAAGTGAACCCCATAAAGCAGCAGTTGGTTCAAAAGGCATATTTTTTATAAATTCAAAAGCCTCTTCTACTCTACCAGCACGCCCAAGCAAATCTACAACACACCCATAGTGCTCAATGTCAGGCTTGACTCCATCTTTCCCATTAACCATTTGATCAAAGATTTCCAACCCCACATCTTCCATCCCTCCATGGCTGCAACCAGACAGAACCCCTAACAGAGTGACACTGTCAGGTTTGACTTTATTTTCATTTCTCATCAATCTGTAAAGCTCCACTACCTCTCTTCCCATCCCATGTTTGCTGTACCCTACAAGCATTGCATTCCATGAGATAACAGTTCTCTCAGGCATGTTATCAAATATCCGTCTTGAGTAAATGAGGTTCCCACACTTTGAGTACATATCAATCAAAGAATTCTGAATTACCACATAGAAGGGCAGTTTACATCGCAGGACATGGTTGTGAACTTGCTTACCAAGATCTAATGCTGCAAGCCCAGATAATGCAGTTAGAACACTAGCATAAGTAACATAATTTGAACTCATTCCTTCTAAATTCAATCTTCGGAATAGTTCTAATGCCTCTTCATCTAATCCTAATTGAGTGTACCCTGAAATTATGGCAGTGCATGAAACAACATCCCTTTCTGGCAGGCATTCAAAAACCTCTCTAGCTTCATGAATTCTACCAGCTTTGGCATACATGTCAAGAAGTGAGCTCCCAACAAATATATGGGTGTCAAGAGTTCTCTTGATTATAATGGAGTGGATTTGCCTTCCCAGCTCAAAACCACAAGTATCCGTACAAGAAGAAAGTACAGTGGCAAAAGTGAATTCATTCGGTTCTGTATCTGTAGCAATGTTATGCTATAATGAGTAACAAGAAACCAATTCAAAATAAGGTGCCAATCTATTTTAATGCCTCGTAATTGAAAAAAGTTGAACCGTGCCACGTAGAGGAAATAAAAAATCAGCTTCAGTCCAACTCTAAGCCATCACCTATCTACAGGTCATCTTGGCATAATGTCTAAAATTCTCCAAAATAAAAGGTGATTCACAAACAGCAGAAAATAAGTTATATGACCTTTTTTTTTTCATAACTTTTGGAAGGACCCTATTTCTTAAAATATTTGAAGCATATATCTTTTGACAATGTCATCCGGTTTTGAATAGACTTTTGGTGCTTCAGAGGTTGTTAGTACACCCTACAACTGTTTTAGCGACAACTACAAAATATTTTCTACGACAAACCAAATCTTAAACAAGCAGAACAAGAGTTTCAAGACTGTAAATGTTATTGCATATTTGACACTACAAATTTTATAAATCATGTTGTTTCAACAGATTGTAGAGTTTAGTTCCGTATTGCAAAACAAGTCTACATCATGAACATCCCATTTTCTAAAAGTATAGAAGAACTTGCAGAGTAGCAATGCACCTTAAAAAAAGTATAGAATCATGTTAGCCAAAAGTACCTGATCTTAACATCTGTACAAAAAGATCCAACGCTTTAGAGGCAAACCCTCTTTGAGAATAAGCAGAAATCATAGCAGTCCAAGAAACCACATTCCTCTCAGGCATTTCATCAAGCACATGCCTCGCCTCCCTCAAGCAATCACATTTACCATAAAAAATTATCAGCCTAGTTCTGAGGTAAACAGGCGGCAAATATCGAGTTTTGATCATATGGGCATGGACCCTTTGGCCTTCTCTAAACGCCCTTTTGTTTATACAAGCGTTTAATAACATATCATAGCTTTCAAACTTCATTTCAAGGCCTTGAACCGCCATTTCTAGCAAAGCTTCTTTCAGTTGACCGTTGGAGCATAAGGTAGTTAAAAGAATTTGTGGGTCTGGCGGAAAGGTAGTGAGAGTTAGTCGGCGGGTGGTATAGGAGTTGAATAAAAATGAAAATGATGATTTTCTGGGGTAGTAATGGGAAAGGAAGTTGATTTTTTTGAGTAACTTCATCTTCCAAAACTATACGTTATTAGTAAACTCTTCAATGGAATTTAGTATTGTTTTAAACATAAATAAGATGGGCTTGATTGGCTCAAGCCATGTTCGGTTGGTTTTTTTTTTTTTTAAAACTATCCGTTCCACTCAAAAATTTTAAAATATATATATTAAATAATATTTTTAAATTAAAATTAAATTAAATTATTTTTATTAATTAATTAAATCAAGCCAACTCAGAAAACTTTGAGCAAAAAGGAATTCCCCTCCAATCTTCCTGTCACCGTCTGTAGAAACCACAACGAAATTTGAGCAAAAGAAATATTATACACAGTTGAAGGCCTGAAGTCCCAAGGATTATCCCATTGCACGGTTCTCCAACGAACCATCTCAGATTTACATTCTCAGCATCCAAACCATCAATATGCTCCATGATAACCCCAGCTGTACTGTGATTAACTAGCCCCTGGCATCCAGGCTGATAGTCAACCAACCCGCCAACATAATTTGTCCATCTTTTTTAAGTTAGATTCATTTTAATGAATCTCAAATTACTTAGCAGTCCGTCTTCAGAATTTGCAGTGATGTTTATCAAGTTTAAATTAGAGATCGAAGTCTCTGCCGAGTTTGAGTCTCGCGGGCAGGTTGTCATGTAAATTGGCTCTGCCCTCCCCGACCATGACAGATCATAGTATCTTGTGCTGATGTTTCTGTTTGAGAAAGTAATATCGCTTACATTTCCTGCACAAGATAAATCCCAAGTCAGTGCAGAAACTAGAAAACCAAAAACCAGATAAAATTACCTCAATCATATATCTGAAATCCAAGCCCTCTGTGTGAATCTACAATCGTAATGTTGTCAAAGAACAAATTCTTGAACTCAAACCAACTAGCACTTCCAAGTTTAATTGCTGAAGATTTTGTTCGAATCCAGCGGTTTGTGGCTGTCAAGTTATATAGAAGGGAAGTGTATGTCTTGGGACATATAGCATCATCTCCTCTATCAATTAATATTGAAACATCATGTATTGATGTGTTTTCACATCGAACCATGTGCAAGCTGCATTTATCCAAATTGTTCATCACAATACATTGACAAAGTTAAAAAGCACATGAAGAGATAGACAAACACAATTGATCAAGATGGTTGGTTTTTATAACAAAATTAAATGGATCAATATAGGGCTAGCATGATTGAAAGACAGCAATCAAAGTCTATAACTCTATATACTCCACTAACTAATTAAACAATTAACTAACACATGGTTGTTAGCAACTAATCTGCTGCTATGCTAGCCAGTAGCCACCCTTTAAATCATTCAAATTGTAACTTGGAACCGTGTCTTCAATTGCAAGATGTTTTCCATGGAAAAAATGATAAATATCAGACAAATGATCAATATTCTTTTAAAAAATACTAGTACTACTAACAAAAAGGGTGTAAATTATAGTAGAAAATGCCAATAGGAAAGGAGAAACAGAAACTTCAAGCTTGTATGCCAAGGAAAGTCCAAAGTGAAGTTGCCATCCAGACAAGCAAAAATGGGAAAGCCAGCAGTCATCATCCTTTAGTGGGGTTCTTTCAGAAAAGAGCCATTACTTTGAGGACAATAAGCTAAAATGCGAACACGTGCAATGACAAAACTCTCCCTCTCTCTCTCTCTTTTACTAAAAACCATGGTGTATTTATCTGTATATATATTTATAAAAGGTCTCACATGCATTGTGTCACTGTCAGTCATGGATAGCGAGTACCCATCAAATGGAAGTCTAAGTTGAAATTGAAGAAAATGGATTGGTCCAAAATCATGTAAAGGGAAATGGGAAAACGATAAGCTTCAAAGCCAATATGTTTCTGACACATATGTAAACGTATAAACAGAATGGAGATTGACCCTACATTTAATTAATGGAGTTCGAAAAGATACCCTTTGTTCTTATAATATACTAGTGTTTTTTTGGTTGATAAGATCAAGTCTTAACATTAAGGACAACCACGCTTAATTTTGGTACAATATTTACTTCTACAGAGTATTCAATCCCTAACCCTAACCAAGACAGCCTCATTAACATAGAGAATATTAAATTGTATCTTTGAAGCAGTTTATTATAGTTTTAATTAACACCAATTAGGGACATATATTTTGTAAGTTAGAACATTTTTTTGGGTATAATGTAAAGTTGGTACTTTGCTTTGTGATAAGCAATTATCAACAAAATAAAAGAAAAAATAAAATAGATTCACTTTTATGGAAGTAATCAAATTTTACTTTGTTATAATGTATTAATGCAAGCAATCACTTAATCTTTATCCAGTTTTTTATTTTATTTTCCTCCTAAACACCTTTTTTCTTCATTCTCTATAAAAATATAGTACTACTTAAAGGTACTTTAATAAATTCAAATCCAATTCGACCAAAAAAAATTATAATTTAGAACTCAAAAATATTTAAATTCGAAATGATGCAAATATAAAAAATTTAAACCCTAACTCAATCTCAAACTTGAATAACATTTTAAAATGAATCTAAGAAATAACTTGGCTAAACTGAACTAAACCAATTCCAAATTTAAAAAAAAAAAAAAAATCCTAAATGATTTGAACAAGAATGCAAAATAATCTGATCGAAATTGTCCTATTACCACCTCTAATATTACTAATGCTTTACATAATTACGCTCAATATTGCTATTACTTTGGAACATAAGGGAAAAAAGTGCAATTATATGAATAAAAAAATTAAAAACTTAAAATTTGATTTGCATTGATAACAAGAAGATATTAGTGACTACTGAGACTCAATAAAATCCTATTTGAAATTTTTTAACAGATCAATTAAAAAAAAAGTTGACTAAAAAGAAAACAGCAGGAAAGCAAATTAGAAACAGTTAAGTACAGATTAGAGACTAACCACCGATAAGCCGGCCGCGTGAAGGTAACATTCCAAACTTTAACGTTGGTAGAGTCAAGAAAACCAACCAACCTCGGCCTACGCTCATCGCCCGAGCAAGCCCGTCTGATTCCAACTCACCATCACATTCTTCCTTTGATTAAAATTCACCACAAACTCCAATCCTTCCACCCTCTACCCCTACATTGCTAGCATTCTCAGCCAATATCACATATCATTTGTCCCACTTTTTGGGTAGTCTTCCAATTTGGTCCCACTCAAGACGGTGGAGCCTTTTGTGATGTTGAAAACGACGTTGGATGTGAGGAAGATGGTGGCTATTAGGTAGGTGCCTAGTGGGAAGGTTACGTAGCATCGTTTATTAGTGGAGGTGTGGCAGCTGTCGATAGCTGATTGGATGGCGGATGTATCGTAGTGTTTCCGTCTCCGGTGGCTCCGAAGCCGGTTGCGGACATGGCAGAGTAGGTGGGAGGAATAGGAAAGCGATCAATGTTGTTAGCTGGGGATTTGGAGCTGCTGGAGCACCCATATATTATTTTTTGGGTTGCTTTTTGCTATGGTTAACTGATTACAAAACAACAAGAAATTTGTTTTAAAAAGCTGAAATCTAGTACAAGTAGTTCCATCTTCTCAACATGTAATGCCTAACACAACTATGAAGTTCTCTATTCTTTGGGGCTTTTAATGGGATTAGGAATGGTTTTCAAACTGCCTTTTCATTTCATATTAAACACAACATAAATATATAAATTATTAATATTTCACAAGAGAGGAATTGTCAGATCAGTCACAGCTAAATTCAGCCAAATATAGCAGACTGACTTTTCAACATAACAATAAAGATGGTTGAAATGGAGAGTCAGGTGAGAAGGAATACTTAAGGTTCTACAATCAACAAAAGCCTCTTTATGTCTTCAACATATATAAAAATTAAAAAGATGACAGACAGCATATATACTGAACAAAAGAAGCCGACTTCCATAATAGTTTAATCATACTTTCATTCTATGATTTTACTATATGAATCAACTCAACCTCGCAACTGAAGTATTAGATTGAATGACTCTGAGTTAGTATATATATATATATATATATATATATTTAATAACAGCATACTGACATTTCTTGTCTCCAGTCCTGAGAAATCAAAGGTTTCCTTTGATTTCCAACTGACTGGGGTAAATAGAAGACATGGAAACCCAAAGATAAATGGTGAGGCCTCTCCTCTACTTCCTGCTAATTTCTAATATTTGATATATACAATACTAGCTACCACTTTAACAGTTTTTCCATAAATCTAACCGTTGGAACTTATTCGAACTTCATAGCTCCATTTTCATTTGATTTGAGTGACGTTTCATAGCTCCATTTTCATTTGATTTGAGTGCAACGTCGCTGCAACAAAGTTGCAATAGAAGTTAGTCTCCTTCTCAGTTTAATTGGCATTAGAAGAAAGATACAACTCACGATATGAATCGAAACGGTATGAATTATATCAAACTCGATAAGACGTTTCATGTAGCAGACATCTGGATGCTGACAACAAGACTGAACTTAAAATTTATCAACAGCAGCCTAAAAGCCTGAACTCAAAATTTGTTGGTTGTCCATTGACCATTTGAACTTGAACTAAGGGAATAATTCAATCACTGCTATTTCTTGTTTAAGTTGAAACTTGAAAGTTATCAGTGATTCAAAATGTTGTGGTTTTGCATATTTTCTAATTATATGAAAATTTAAGAAGCATACAAACTCATTTCTCATCTACCTGAATTTGCCGAGGAGTCATAACTTAAAAGAGAGTTCTCTGGAGTAATGTAATTATTGCAGACTTCTTCTCTCCCCCAAACAGCCTGCTGAAGTGCATCAAAATGCCATTGCTGCTGATACTGTTGTCTGTTTCCATTGACCTGAACCTCAGGCCACACCAGAGGCATAACCATGCTGGGGAAATTACTATCCATTAGAGATCCACTCTACACGTATCAAAAGATGATCAGACATGTTAGTGGAAAATTTCAGGTAACTAAAATCAATAGCTATTCTCTTGCCCTAAGAAGAGAAACTTTATGGGTTACCATGTAGATGCTTATAACCAACAAAATCTATTGTACAGTTAGTTTACGGGCTTCTTCTAATTAACAATTTACATGACAAGAAATAGTTCTCAATGGGGTATGTAGTCATTTCACTACAAAAGGGTGATTTAGTAGCAGCATTTTATTACTTTTCATTCAACACATTCTGCTAGCCACTATCGCTAACCATATGAAGACCCATGAGTTTCAATAATTTCTTGGAATCATTGGCCTTCATGGATGGGCCCACTATTCTGATTTTGCATTGAAATGACTACATTTACATTCATCTGACTGGCAACCATTTTTCCCAATCACACAAACAAATGATTGAAAGCATAAATAGGCAGATGGAAGATGGTGGTCCAGACATGATCCACTGCCCTCCAAATATTAATGAGAAGCAGTCCTTTAAGATCCTGGGTAGGAATCGAGTGGAAGAAGCCATAAAATAAAGTGTACACTGATTTAGGCTTTACCAATCCATACTGCCGAGTTCATAAACAACAATCTTGGAACGAAAAAGAAATTTTCACGAAATGTCTGCCAAAAAAGTCCTCTAGAGGAATATAGCTGTAGCTTACTTCCACCAAAGCTATAAAAAGCTAACAACTTTGCAGAGCTACTTGTCACATGAACTGGGAGAATCACCAGAAGAGCTTTCAATTTCCAACGTTAGACTAGACATGTGAGACACTAGGTGTCTGATACTTACTTCTGTTGTGAATATACTATCAAGGTCGAAATCAATTCTTGGGTTCACTGTTGCAAGTCTCATTGATAAGATCTGCAACCAAAGAAACATATTACCAGAATCAGACCACGGGGATGGAAGATACTGCAAGCAAAACCACAGCACAAAGCATACAACAAGACATGCCAGCCTACTGGGATATTTGTTAATTTTGCAAAATTTTCCTAAATGGTTGAGAGGCAATACAAATGCTTCCATTTAGCCAGCAAAGGAAGTTTACAACAAGAACAAAGAGCAAAAAATAACATTGTAACAGGTGCAGAATGCAGAAAATCTCTACTACAGCAAGGGCCCTCCTACAAATTCGTGAAAGCCACCTAAAACTCTTGAGAAAATACATAAGATGATTAATCTCAGGCGCTCTTGACATCAATGATAATTTGAAAGTGATTTTGATGCAAAAACACTAAAAATTTTAAAATCCAATATGATAAAGAATTATTTAAAATTTTGGATGGCAATTTCAATAGGGGCCCATCCAGTGAACAAGTCCTCTGTCAGTGCCTACACTACACCCTATTAGTCCATTTGCAAGGCTTAAGAACACGTCTTGAATTCACAAATGTCATACATGTTCAAACCTTCTGGCATCTAAGAAAAAAAAAAAAAAACTGATGCTTGAGAATTGAGATGCACAATTCTCACCTCCACTTGACGTTGTAGGAACTGCACATGATTGATGATTTCATCCAATACCAATGCCGTACCAGAAATCTGCGACACATGGTATTTCTCAGATTGCAAAAAGTCTTCAACATATTTGAATTCATACGCATTCTATAAAGAAATTCAAGCTACAAGGGCTTTCGAAAGCAGTCAACTTCTTGAGCCTAATGCCTTTGAAAACAAAATGCAGTTGCCAAAGCTCTTGATGGCTCCTTATAAAATATTTTTATTACAAACAAACAAGAAGAAGGCACTACCATTTTAACTTTTCATTTATTGTCCTTATTTGAAACTACAGAAAACAATTTGTATAGGCCACAACAAAGAGCTTTACTTTGTCTACATCAATGCATTGAGTGAAAAGAAAGTCTAAATCCAAAATTTTAATCTCAGTTAATTCAAATATTGTAAATACATGGCCTGAGTAACAGGCCCAAGGGCAAGAAGTCAATGAGAAACACAAAGTTTCAGGTTTAATATAAGGGCATCCACCTAGAATCTGAGTGTTTGAGATTTGAGAACTCTGACTTCAATTTTCACAATAGCCACATAAATTTAACTTGGCTACATACCAAAAACCATGAAACAGACATGAAACAAAGGAACAATTCATGGCAAGCAGATAGATGGCTTAATCATGTTCTCGTCATAACATAAGTTCCAAAGCGACATCCTCTAAAACAGAAAGATACAGCTATTTGGAAGCCTATAGATCAGTCTCCCAAAGGATACAATGTAACTGCCTCAATTTGAAAGCAAAAAAACCATCAAATCTTTTCCCAACAATTAGGCATCTCTCATCCTTTCAAATTTTAAGGAGATCATGACTTGTGGTCCTCGAAAAGAAAGGTTATTCACCGATTAGCTAATCTAGTCTCAGCTGAATTGTGGTCACTTCATGAAGAAAAAGCACCAGAAAATGACTCAGATCTCAATTCTTTTATTAAAAACATCTTGTGAAATGTTAAGGCATAAATCAAGATTATATTTTGAACCATTAAAATAACTTGCCATGGACTATCACATCATGCCCCCATGTAGTTAGGCAGGCATTTGGCATATAAAAGGCATTTTCTTTTGTCATCCTTTTTATACTTTTCCCATAGAGGATGGATACTGAACTTGTAAGAGAAGTTGGTAACCATTCTACATCAATAAAATGGGACCCCATAGAGACATTTAATCTAACAAGCCACTAGACATGTCTACCGAGCACTTCATGGTAATGTCCAGCTAGCATTTCCAGATGACTAAAATTTCCTTCCACCGTTGTCAACGGCTAGAATTGTCATTTTGCTGATAATTATCCTTTCCATAGTTAATTCAAAGTCCAAAACATCAATTCAAAAGATTTTATTAAAGCTAGAATATCCGGCCTTTCAAATTTACTACCTTCACTCAAACAGCAATGAAATTGCACTTGATATTTGAAAAGACGAGATTAACCTCAAAAAGAAGTTCCAACAAACCCTCCCCACGAAGGAAAAAAAAAAGCTTAAAACATTAAAAATACCAAAGTGCCATCAGGCCACCAGATCTGCACTTTTCTTGTTACAAAAGTAATCCACTTTTGTGCAAAAGGTGACAAGGACAAAACCGTTAGTAAACAATAATAATCAAAATACGTAATCACACTTTAAGTACCCCGTTTAGACAGATATTCTTAATTTAATCAAAAAATCACAATCAAATCATTAATCAACCAATTAATTCAATTGAACTGACCTTACTGCATCCAGGTACCAATTCCTGTAGTAGCTTCATTCGTGCATTAATTTTCTCTCTCCTGGCCTGTATTTAACACCAAAATCAGCTTAATTAAAACAATTTCTAATAAGCAAACTAATTAAGGAGTTAATCATGAAAATTAGTAAATTACTCTCTCTGCTAAGCTATGGCTGTCAGTTGCTTGTCCGCGACGAGCTCTGACATGAACGTAAGGTAGCTTCTCGGCGTCCTCTGAGCTCTCATTCATCGCGGTTTTGCTTTTCTTGGTTGACCCTTTAACCTAAGAACCCTCAAAAATAAATTAATCAGCTAACTTGTCAAAATCATGCCATAAATGGAAAACCCCAGAAACCCTAGATCAAAAAATTTGTTTTTGTTTTTGGTTTTCCACCTTCTTTTCTCGGTCCTTTCTCTTGATACACCGCTTCTCCACCGTTGGATCAGAAACCAACGGCTCAGATGACTCGGTCTCCGCCGGCTCACTCTTCACTGCCTTCTGAGGATTCGCGCTTGGATTGTTCGACGGCGTTTCGGGCGAGTTGCTCGTATTATTGTTGTTGTTACCCACCCCAGCAAACAAAGAGAACCTCGCAGCTCGTTCAATCAAACCACTATTAGAAGGAAAATGAAAGCTGGCTTTGAAATCTTCAATATTCGGAGCCGGAGCCGCCATAAGCTTAGCCGATTCAGGAGAGTGAAGAAGCTCAACCGCTTCCGGAGCCGGGAGTTCAAGCAGAGCCGTGAAGGAACTCGCATTATTGGTTGTCGTAGCCGAGATCAAACGGTGGATTTCGTCTGTAAATTGGAGCGATTCGAGCGCCGCAACGTCGTCCCCATCCGACGCCGTTCCATTAGATCTGGTTTCCGCCGTCCCTGTGTTTGGCTCCATAGGGGAAAAAAACTAGCCAAGTTCGAAATTCTGAAAAATACCGAGTTCAATTTCTTGAAAATAATAAGTACCCACTTAGTTAATCAACCCAATTTTAAGTCTAACAGGCTCAGAAATTTTCAGAGAAACATTGGTTAGTTTCTTCCATGGTGATCAGGTCAAGCTTACAAAACTGAGTTAAAGTTTTTCGAGAGAGAGTTTGTTGCTCTGCAAAAGAGAGAACTTCTCAACCAGATGAAGTATAGGGAAAGCAACGTTGGCGCAGTTGTGTGGTTTAATTATAAAAAGGGAATTTTTAAAAAAAAATATTTTTTTATTTCTATTTTTGCCAAGAGAGAAGGGAACGTAGCGTCTGGGTCGGTCTCACATAAAAATTGTACAGTTCCAACTGTACTGTTGTTTGAGATTATTAGAAAAGAAATTTGTTAGGTTGGGTTGGTACGGTCCCACCAGGCATTTTGCTTTTCATGTTTTTTATTTTTTATTATTTTATTTTCCTTTATAAAATACTTACTAAAAAAACTAAAAATAAAGTGTTTTTAAATTATTTTTCAATTATGGTTTTCCATAGAGGATGGATCATGGATCTCGTTAAATTAAATATAATTAAAAGCAAAAATCTGCTATAATCAAAGTTGATTTTTGCATTTTTTTTTTTTGTGATTTGGTTCTGACCTTTTAATGATTTTCTTTTGTTTTTCGAACGTTCATTTGCAGTGTATTGACATTGTTATTTCAACGTGCTCCTTCCACTTTTTGTGATTTGGCAATCATCAAAGGAAACTAATAAAACAACCACAATCCTTGGGAAAAAAATACAAATAAATAAAACAACCATAATCTCATAAAAATATTGTACAATAAATTAATATTATACATTGTTAATTAATATATAATAAACTTTCATTAATGATTTTTTATCAAATTTTAATTAGTGATTAAAATTTAAAAAATCAAATGTCTAAAAATAAATTACCTTAATAATTAATTAAATTTAAATTTATCAATTTTTTGAATAACAAATTTATTAATATTTATTTTTATAAATTTAATTATTTTTAATAAATACCATAAAATGACTGAAAGTGACGCGGTGGAAAATGGGAAGCAGAGGGAGAGGGTTGGAAGGACGAGCCTGGGCCATAAGACACTGAGCCACGCCGATGGGGTGGGGGGGGGGGGACCGGCCACAAACCAAGCCCCGACACTGTTTTTAATCGCAGAAGATGACCCGTCATTTTCTTGCATTTATTTAACCACCGTATATCAATACAAAACCAAATTATTATATTTTAGTAAATATTTATACCACCTTTACTAGTAAATTTAATGAATTGGTATGGTGGTCAAAGTTTTTGTGAATTGAGGAGATTTTGACTTCCCAATTTGGATATCTTCGACGCATTTCTTTTCAATTTTTACATGGGATTATAAACCTCAAGTCTCTCTTTAATAGAAATAAATTTAAGTACGTGGTACAAATCTTTGTCTTCAATTTTATATTTTTTTAAGAAAATTTTTTTATATTACAAGTAAAAATTTTAATTATAATAAAAAACTTTAATATATATCAAATATTACATTTATAGAAAATTAAAAACCAATCATATATATATATAAATAATCTTAAATTTATTTAAATATTAAAAATATTCAAATTATAATTGAAAGTCAAATCAATTAAAGATATGTTTTTTTTTAAATTACAAAATTTACTATAGATTTTATCTTCATAATAAACAATTTTAGTTATTTATCAAATAACTTTATTTAAAAATTATTTAATTATTAAAATCTTTTAACGTGTTTAAAAATCACAAAAATTAAATTTATCCAAATCTTTCAACAACCTTTTTTATCTTGATTTAAATTAATAAAAAAGTTATTGTTTCAAAAATTTACGTATGATATTGAAAATTTTAAAAAAATTTACATTAGATTTTTAAATAATAAGATTATCAAAAAATTTATATTAATCTCAACCCTAATTATCAAATTTATCTTTCAAATATATAAAAATTTTGATTTTATCTTTATCACTTATTATATCTATTATAAATTTAAAAAGTTTTAATTTAAAAATTATATATTCAATCTTAATTGCCACTCAATAGTTCTTGTACAAATTTAAGACTATAAATATAATGTCTTATGTCCCTTTTTTTTATTTTTTCAGTTTGCAACTCATTTTCAAAGTATATTTTATTATTATTGTAACTAGTACTAGACCCTCGCTTCATCCGGTGTATTAAATTAATTTTTAGTCTTTCATTTTCTTAATATTTGATTGAATTAGAATTTAAAATAATTTAATATAAATCTAGTATTATTAAGTGTAGAAAATTTTATTAAAATAATTGGTAATAGAAAATTAATATAAACCCAAATAGAAAATGTTAGGTGTTGCAGCTAAATAACTTAGCACACATTTTTATCAATATCAGATTTTTTTTCTTTACGACAGCATTACCCAGAAGCACCTCAAAGCCACGGCTTGGTTTCTTTAAAACTGAACATTTGCTCTAATAGCCTACATGAACATATAATTTAGCTAGTAACTATTCACCAAAAGATAGATTACCATGCATCTATGAAAGGATTAACAACATACAATTGTTGTTAAAGGTGGAATAATTGGGCAAGCATTTGCGTCTCCACTCTACCCTAAGATGGTATGACTTTTTCTCATTGACATTGAGACACCATTCACATCAGGCTTAAAAAGGAATTTTTTTTATTTTTTGCCAATGAAAATTCCAATAATACTGCTTACGAACTTTAATGATTCCTCTTTATGTTAAGTAAAAGCAAGTTGCACAATTATCTTATCAGGTTCCCTTATACCACCATCTATGATTTCAATTCTATCATTTGTAATTTTCAAGTGTGTAAGAGTCTTAGGAGGTAACACTTTAGCAATCTTATTAACAGATACATATTTTTCTGATGCTTGCATATTAGAAATCTTATAGTCATCTCACAAACAGTAATTATAAAATTAAACAATTTTTCAACCCATTCTTGCAACTAATAGAGTTTCTAATTCAATAAGATTTTATTAGATTTCACACATAATTGCATGAATTAATTGGTAAATTCTTCACTTCTGTAGTTTTAATAGACGATTGTATGATGAACATTATAAGTTAACTTGGTTGCCTTTGTTATTTATGATAAATGAATAGCTTTTTACAACTCACAATGTTGTCTATTATTTTTAGACAATAATCACAACCCATTTGAGGTCTGAAAGAAATATGAAATAAAAACATAAATAGAATAGATTAACGAAATACAATAACAAAGTATCAAGATTTAGGATTTTTAAATTAGTGTAATGAGTCTTACTTTTAGCACATGCCTCATTCTAAGTTATTGAGCAGCAGCTTTAAATGCAACAGCTTTTTACATAGAATGCTTGATGATAATAACAACTGCATAAAGATTTTGCTCCACATATGAGTGTTTAGATTTCAACAATCAACATAACTTGCTAGTAGTTACAAGCATCTACTTGGCTTTTATCAATAGGAAAAATAAGAACTTAAGTAAAAAATACCAATTAGCAGGAAAAAAAAAAAAGATATATTGGAAGTGAAGTAAAAAATAACAAAAGTAGTACAAAAAGTAAGATTAGAAAATTGATCAAAAATTGAAAAGTTCCTATCGATTTCAAGAAGGATTTTGTCTGGCAATACATGACTAGTACTTTTGATTGTTACTTAAGTGCTTTCATCGTCTGGTAAAACTAGTACTTTTATCATTTGATCAGGGAGTATGGAGATTGTTAATACCTTAAAAAAACCCTCAGACAAAAAAAATAATCTAAAACAAAATCATAACTTCATTCAAACAATATCCAAAACAAAAACCTCCCAAACAGGATACAAATTATGTTTTTATAAATAACAATTCAATTTTCATCCAAAGCAGAACATGAAAAGAGAAATAATTAAAAAAACATATTCATAATAACATGCAAACCTAATAAGCACAAAACCTAAACCTCATTTAACATATAAAGGCTTAACACCCAAATCATCTGAAAAAAGAAACAAAAAAAAAAAACCTACATTTTGTTAAACAACAAAAAATAAACCATAGATTTTACCCAAAAACACTAAAGAAAAAAAATAAGGAAAAAAAAAAAATAAGGAAAGAAAATAACGATTAACAATCACAAACCACATAATACTTTCTTTCACACCAAAGTTACATTCTTTGATGCAATAATGAAAACCTAAAAATAAAAGTTTCAAAATTCAAGTTTAAACACACCTGTCGAAGTCAAAACCCAAATTTCAAACATAAAACAACAAAAGTAAATAGCTATAAGCAATGAAGAAATTTCTCTTTTTTGGCCCAAGCAAAACAACTCACTTGACCCCACTAAAATGGCAAAACACTGTAAAAAAGAAAAACCTAAAAAAGAAAAAAATATACATGGTAGGCTAAGATCCCTTAAAGGATACTTTTTATATAAGAGTGTATTGATTTATTTTTTTGGTTTACAACTTTTTTTTCAAGATATATTTTATTGCTATTATAATTTTGTTCTTATGACAAAACATTTTTTTCAATTTATTTTTTTCCCCATATCTCTTAATATTTTTCATATTTTGTGCAACAATTGGATCATGATTATAAAAGTGAAAGTATTTAATCCTTCTTTTATTGTTTAATTCATCATTCAATAATATATATGTTTTTTTTTATTTTTAAGAAAGAAATCATTTATTTTTATTTAATAAAATTTTGCATATGTATAAACATTACTGTAGATAAAAAATGGTTCAAAGGGAAAATATGTCATTTTTTTCTTATTTTTGATAAAATATTTATTGTCTACAACAAGTCAGTAAATATGATTTTTATATATGTTATAAATTTTTTAAAAAAATTAATTTATATGCATATACCCATATTAAATAGGTAAAATTATTCCATACATTGCACGATCGCAATTTAGTGAATGTGTATACCAATCAACTAGACTAACAAAAAATTAGATCTGTTGGTGTGTCCAATAATAAATTAATTAATAATATTTTTATTTGAATGACATGAAATTTTGATATTATTTAGCTAATTAAGTTTTTCATAATTTTTGGGTGATTGGGAGTTAATAATTATAATAATTAATATAAATGTAACTTATTTTAACAAGAGAGTTAAAGATTCTAAAAATATAGAGCAAAGTTTGTGCCTTTTTTAAAAAAAAAAATTGGATTAATATTGGAAGATTGGATTGGATAAAATTCTTATATATATATATATTATATTCAAAATCAAATATTATATTCATATAATTAATTATTATATTACTAAATAATTAATTAATAAACTATAATTTAACTAAACAACCAAA